ATTTTAATTAAAACAACAGATTCGTAAAATCGTGTATTTTCATCGTTTAATTGCAATATTCAGAGCACATTGACAAGAGATTGCCTGTTTCGCACATTATAAAATAGCAAAAACCACATTAAACCTATGTCCACCTACGAATTACAAGCACTTTCTGTAGTTTTAATAGTATATATATTATTATGCGCTTTATTTTAGAGTCTTATAAAATTAGAACTACTCGGTAGTACTGATCCTAAATACTATAAACGTTCGAGGAATAAGGTCTGTAAATATGAACTAGAAACTTGATAAAATATGGAATATTTGCATATTCATATATGTAAAATGCTGCAACACGATTGTGTCCTGTGCTGTTTGCAGTTATCAGAGTATGTAACGAACAAAAATCCACACGAACGCATCGAAAAACGTTCGATCCACCACGCCCTTGGAAACAATAAAAATCCATTGTGCACGTTTCAGGTCGACGTAGGTATCAACTAAAAGTTCTAACTCACAATACTCTCTTGAAACTAGTTGCCTGCCTTTTGATGGCTGCCTCGGATTGTTTTCCAATAACTTCAATAGGATTCTAGTATCCCGCCAACAATTTACCACTCATCGTTATTTATTTATTATTATTATTATTTTCGCTACGTGTTTTTTTTTTCTTTTCTTAACCATAGATAACCACAGATAAATAATAGATAATTATCATTCTTTCTCCTCAGGGATCAAAAGGCATAATGTTATTTGTGCTTTGTTTTCTTTTTATTTTTTATTAGTTGTATAAATTTATATGATAGTGTTTATGATTACATTTATATTCTGTGGAAAACGCCGTTGTTTAAACATTTGTTTAAACTACCTATGTATGGTGTTACCATAATGTATCATGTAATGTGTCACTGTTTGTTTTCCCAAAATAAAAAATATTATTTATATGTGTGTAACTTGTTGAAGTTATGAACGTAAATAATGTGCACCCATATGGTAGATGAATGGCCTATTAAAGATCATAGAAAGATTTTACAGTAATTCGATTAACATGCGAGCAATGAATAGGATATGCAAACGAAAGAGATTCGCTGTACCAATATATATATATATATATATATGTATATGTATATTATTACCTTATGCTAGCAGCTTCGCACGCACTCCCGTGGCAAATTAGCCTATGTACTATGCCAGTCTATAATATACTGTTCCAAATATTTCATCTTGATCGCTTCAGCCGTTTTAACGTGAAGGCGTAATAAACATTCAAAGTTTCGTTAGTATTTTACCTTCATACAATAGAACTACCTATATGTGTTATGATGTACATATAGACATTTTTATTGAAATGGTACAAGCCCGTCACAATCTCCCAAAACCGCTGCAACTCCTGTAAGCCAGAATTTACAGTAGATACAACCATGAAAACACCGGAACACTGAAGTCCGGCGCGTCTCAGGGAAATGAATAACTGTCTTGGTTCCCGCAGCGAATTAAATCAGGAGATATTATAAGAGGAGAAGAAAAAAAATCGATATATACTTATATATAGACATAATACGAATAACATATTCCTTTCCTAATACCTTTATAGAATTCATACAAAAATACGGGATATTACCTGGGAATTTTGCGGTCATCCCGGACCGAGATTTGTTTACATTCTCCAGCGGAGGATCAATTGAGATTGTTGTATATACTCTTTAAACACCTCTCGGCCTCGAACCGGCCTGAGTGAAGGGAACTATGTAAAATTCCAACCTTTTATGTACCTACTTATCTTCCTTTTATACATTTTTCTCTTTCATAAACAAATGCAAATGGCATTACAACTTTGATCTTTGATATATATACATAATGTATATCAACTATATATTTAAATAACGTTTGTATATTATGTTTATTTGCTTTCTAATCAATTTTTTTATTGGAGATAACATATTGTAGGCAGAGGTGCACATTACGGCACTTAATGCCACTCTCAAATGTAACA